TGAATGCATGTGTGGAAGACAGAAGACAACCTTGGGTGCCTACCTCCTTTAAGACAGGGTCTTTCACTGGCCTGGAGCTAACCAATTAGGCTAGACTGCAGAGCAATGAGTCCCAATCCAGTGGTCTGCTTCTCTCTGCATCATCAGTGTTGGAATTACAAGCCTGTGCCACCATACCTGATATTTTTACATAGATGGTGAAGAATAAACTCAGGTTCTCATACTTGAGACAAGCACGTTACCTGCTAAGCAATCTTTCCAGTCCCTATTTGTTATATTAAGATAGAAAATCATATGTGTGTGTATGTCTGTGTGTGAATGTCATGTATATTTGGATACCTGCAGAGGCTAGAAGAAGACACTGGATCCCCTGGAGCTGGAGCTATAGGCAATTGTGGGATGTCTGATGGTGATGGGAACAGAACTCAGGTCCCCTTCAAGACCAGCAAGTGCTCTTAATTGCTGAGCCATGTCTCCAGCCCCTATTTGTATTTTTAAATCTCACATGCTAATGAAGCACTGTATCATTAAGCTACACTACCACAACACTAAAAGATTGACTTTTATGGGGAACTTTTTTTTTTTGTTTTTTTTTCGGTTTTTTTCTCTGTGTAACTTTGGTGCCTGTCCTGGATATCGCTCTGTAGACCAGGCTGGCCTTGAACTCACAGAGATCTGTCTGCCTCTGCCTCCCTAGTGCTGGGATTAAAGGCGTGTGCCACCACCGCCCTATGGGAAACTATTAAAAAGATCAGATAATTCAGGTGTAGCTGAAGGTATTACAGGCCAAATTCCTGCCCCTGTAATTTTTTTTATATTTCAGCATTTACTATAGTTTTAAAAAGTATAAATAAATGGGGCTGGAGAGATGGCTCAGTGGTTAAGAGCACTGGCTGCTCTCCCAGAGGGCCCCGGTTCAATTCCCAGGACCCACATGGCAGCTCAAAACTGTCTGTATGTAACTCTAGTTCCAGGGTATCTGACACCTTCACACCAATGCACATAAAATAAAGTTAAATAAATTAAATATATATAAATTAAGGATTTTATTGTATCTGCATGTAAGTTTAAGAAATGCAATGTTCTGCTATATTACTATTTTATAAGACTGGAGAAGAACTTACAGTGTAATTATCAATAACAGACAGCATTTATATAGACTTTTCAAGTCATTACTTCGCTAATCTACTGACAATGTTAAGACAAGGGTGGGTAATGTTATCAGCTCCTTTTGCTAAAGGGAGTGGAGTGGAGACATTTCAGGCTGTCCCCAAGGTCAATGTGAGTCAGCCACAGTGCACACAACTCCTGCTGAGGTACTTCACTTCCTCAGTCTAAATCACAGTGCTTTGGCTGGAACTGAAGAAAAAGCAACTCCACCTAAAAACAAGTGTGCTGCCAGTGAAATGTCAGGTCAGTAGATGTGTTGGAATGAGAGGTTTAAGTTGTAAAGTACTGATAAATTGAAGAGCACATTAGTGGAGAGCTGTGTTCAGGATTACACAACAGTTAAAATTTCTGGTTTACACCCACACATTAAATTGAGATTTTTTTTTTCATTAACTGTTGACTTATATTTAAAACCATGTAACCTCAGTCTTTCAAAGTAGTTTTACTTTTATTATTTTTTTTTTACTTTTCACATTTAAAAAATATTTGCTTTGCTTTTATAAAGCTAAATTAACTTAAAAACCACATAACTTATGTGCGTTTGTTTCTTACTATTTAAGGAAACCTATGAATTGTAATTTTTTTTTTTTTTTTGGTTTTTCGAGACAGGGTTTCTCCGTGTAGCTTTGTGCCTTTCCTGGAACTCACTTGGTAGTCCGGGCTGGCCTCGAACTCACAGAGATCTCTGCCTGGCTCTACCTCCCCCAAGTGCTGGGATTAAAGGAGTGCGCCATCACTGCCTGGCCTATAAATTCTATTTTAGTGATTATAGCTCTGGTGGTCCTTGGAACATACTATGTAGACCAAATTGGCTTCGAATTCACAGAGATTGACCTACCTCTGGCACCCAAGTGCCTGGATTAAAGGCATGTGCCATGCCTGGCTGATAATATTTTTCTTAAAATATAGTTTCACTGGGTTACTGTTCTACTAAAGACTCCATGGATCTCCCACAAGCCCACATTCTACAAGCTCATGATAGATTTTTATAGTAATAGTTTCAGTGAACTACACCCCTCCAGATTTCCAGTCTGTGGTTTCCTGAGACACTGGTGATGGAACTTGATTTGGCCAGTGTAGCATCAACAAGCATGGCTTACACAGGAACCTAGTAAATGCTAGGCCTTTAAGGCTAGTGCTGCTATAGTAAGGGCCCAGTGTGGTTTTGATGGAGAAAGGCCATCCGAAAACAGAGTATGTCAAGCCCCCCAGTGGAATGTGCCTTGAGACTCCAAAGAGCTAGCTACCTTGCCTTTACAGGGGAAACAGAAAGTGGCATCTTAAGCCACCCAGTCTGTGGGCAGCTGCAGTATTTTCTTTAATAGGTGCCTGGTGCAACACACTGCAGTGCATGGCTAAGCTGACATTGTCCAGTCCTACTTCTCCCCAGTTTAGGGTGGCTCCCAGGGCTCATATTTTCTGCTTGAAGCAGTGTGTCTGCTGATATCTCCTATCTATTAGTTAGCTCAAGCTCTTGCAAGGTTTCCTGCCTGCTCTGGTCCACACCAATCACGACTGCTCTGCTCACTGCTGACAATGGTCTAGGTTTCTCTCTCAGCCATTCACATGTCACTCCACCTTTATAATCTATTGACTGCACTTCTGGCTGACATCCTCATCTGTACTCCAAGTTCTTACCAAGGGCTTCATAAATGTATCTAAAATTATCAGTGGCTTCTGATATATATCTAGATGGCCTGTAGAAGTTCTGGGAATACTTATCAAGTACAGAATCATCTCTAGGAGGTGATGAAGTGGTAAGAGCCCTTTGGGAGAAGTCTTGTTAACAGGAAGCTAGGCTGCAAGCAGCTCACTTAGTCTATAGCTATGCCTTAGAAAGTAGTTCAGGCTACACAGTAAAAAAAAAAAAGTTCTACAGTGTTCTCCCTATGAAAACTGGAAACAGTGATGACTTTGTGGCCCAGTGATTTAGCAATCGCCAAGGGGCAGCGGGAAGGTCAGCCTCTTACTCTCAGAGGAAGGAAAGTGCCTATAGAAGGCAAAGACACTGTTGGGAAGAGAAGCAAGATCCTAGAACTGTTATATTTCCTGGTACTGAAAGCTGTACATAAAAATACACAGCCATGCAGTCTACTTTTCCAGTGACTGCAACTATCACGTTTCTTGCCATCCACAGCTTAGGGCCTAGGCAGTAAGTACACTGTCTTGCTGGGCCACATTTTTAGGGTGGTTATCAATGTATTCTAATAGCATTCACTTTTAGTAGGAGTGCAGGAGTGGCTGCTTATAAACCTCAGTGAAAACCTTTTCAAGATAGCTAGCAACCTGGGTCCCAAAAGAGAGGCAAATATCAACAGTCGAATTTATTTATTTATTTGTTTGTTTGTTTGTTTGTTTGTTGGGAATTGAAATTAGGGCCTCATTCATGTTAAATAAGTACTTCTCCAGCTTGCACATGATCCTGCAGGTACATCCCAGCTAGCTGGTTGCTTGCCTGAAAATCCTCATCTGTCCCTCTCTCCCTCTCCCCATCTCTCTATTTCTTTTTATAATTTATTTAATTTTATTTTATGTGCATTGATGTAAGGGTGTCAGATTGCCTGGAACTGGAGTTACAGATATTTATGACTTGCCATGTGGATACTAGGGATTAAACCCAGGTCCTTCAGAAGAGCAGCTAGTGCTCTTAACCTCTGAGCCATCTCTCCAGCCCATCTATTTCTTACCTTCCTTCCTTTCTCTCTCTGTCTGTCTCTGAGATAAGCTCTTGCTTAGTTGCCCAGGCTAGCCCAGAACTTGTAATCCTTCTACCTCAGACTCCCAAGGAGCTGGGATTATACACTTGGGCTACTGGGCCTGGCTTCAAACTAGTTTCAGTGAAGCACTTACTTTGAAATGATAATTGAAGCATAACCTTTAATGTAGATGTTATTCCACTGAAGTTAAAAATATTATTTTTCATGTTACTATTTTAAAAAAAGATAATCAGCAAGGTGTTATAGTGGCTCACAGTTGTAATCTTGGCACATGGGAGGGTGGGAAGGGAGATTGCCTAAATTCAAAAGCTGGCTAACCTATGTTACAAAGTGAGATTCTGTCTCAAAACAAAAAAGTAATCTATCTAGAGGCAAGAAATTCTATACAGCTAAATGAATGATGCTCACGTAGCAGGACACTAATGTTCAAATGTTGTTGTGTCGCCCTGACTGATTTTATTATGTAGACCAGGCTGGCCTGGAACTCACAGAGTTCCACCTGCCTTTGCCTCTCAAGTGCTGAGATTGGAGGCATGTGCCACCGTACCACAAATATTCAAATGTTTTAAGTATAAGTTATCAGTTCATAAAGATTTGGTTTACAGAGTAGAAAAGTTCATGGAAATGATATTAAAGCCTAATTTTGTATATCAGAAAGCACAATTTTAAAGTTAAAATGTTACTTATAGTACTTCACAATTACTCAATTAACTCACTTCAAATATATTAGTACCATCCTGCACTGCCACTGCAAAAATCCTGTAGTAAGTTATAAAATTCCATTTAAAGATATTTTAAAAATGCAGTGTTAAGTATTTAAAGATACTTATGTTAACAGATTTTATATGTGCTTTACATTAATTGCTATAGAAACAAATCAAAAGACTTACCATTCACTGCTTTTTCATAATTTTTTCCTAGGTTTATTAAGTTTCGTAGTCCAGGATTGAATTGTTCCATAACATTCTGACAGACAAACAGACAAAACAGACAAATTAATAAACAAAAGAGGGAGGAATATCTAGATTCTATCACTATCAGGCTGAGAATTCCTATATAATACAATGTACAACAATAAAATCTCAAATGTTCTTTTTTTTTTTTTCTTTCCAGACAGGGTCTCAGGAATCCCAAGACTGGCCTGAATTCGCTACAGATCTGAAGATAACCTTGAACTTCTGTCCTTCCTGCTTTCAGCTCCTAAGTGCTAGAATTACAGACGCGTACCACCATGCCTGGTTTACAGTTTGGAGGATCAAACCTAGGGCTTCACATATGCCAACTGAGCCAAATCCTTAGCCTACAAATAATGCAGATGTAAAAATCTCAATGAGCTCGATTTTCTGACCAGATTGAACAGGCAGCAAGGTGGATATAGCCTAGCAATTTTCAGTTGCCCAAGGACTACCTACAATCTGCTATAAAGGAAGCAATCAGCAGACATTCACATCTCTATCATACCCCAGGGGGCTATGAGCCTGGAGACCAAAGAATTCTCTCTGGTACAAGTATATTGCTCATGGCCCTAACTCTAGCATTACGAAATAGTCTGCTTGAGCAGCTACCTCAGTTTAATTTATAATTAAGGGTAAGGGTAATGTTTTGGCTATGGAGTACTTAAAAACTTCAGGGTAATCTTGCTTTCATTTTGCTTAAACCTGTACAGTACAGACAATAAGCCACTCCCAGGGCGCTGACTTTATGACCAAGAATACATTAACATATGGTGACTATAGATATTTGCTCCATCTTGGATCAACAAGTTGCCCTATATTCATCCTTCCAAATGGACCACTCTGGTATCCCCACTGCTTCTCCCATGTAGATGACCAAATGATAAAAGATGGAAAATGAGCCAACACTCAATGAGTCAGATGCTTCACATCTTTCAGAAGGAAAAAAAGGCTCTGCATTAGTAACTAGGAATAGAGAACTTACAGTAATTGAAGAGTGATAAAAATCATAAAAAGCCCACACCTCATGCTTTCTCCATCATGGCTATTACTCCCAAGAATGCTTCCAATCACATGGTTACTCTCCCCTTTATTCCACCATTTTGACTATTCACTAATCTTCAATTTCAACAGTAACTTCTGGTTCCCTCTTACAGTTCAGGAGGACCTACTTCTCTATTACACTCCTCATTCTTCCTGTTTAATCGACAACTGGTCAATCATATTTATTATGACTGTAAATATTGGTTACTACAATTCAAGGAATGTACTAAAGATCACATTTCCTTTCTTAGTAATGCCTTCTTGTTTTTCCTGGAATAATTGGCTTGCCCCTCTTCCCTCTTGCTTCCACGTATCCACCCTAAGTCCTTTCCCATGCAGTGTCAGATCAAGCACACAGGCACTTCATTTCTCAAACACACAGAATAGCCAGCTGATCTCACATCTCATTTTCCCCTCCTAAAACTTCCTCTAAGGACTCTCTGTCCTCTCCCTCAGCTTTATCTGATTTCCCCCAAGTCTGCCAGGCTGTTGTCCTTGCACGTTCCTATCTGGCTGCCTATATCAGAGCTCTCATTCTCAGCCAGCGGGTGGTGGCCCACGCCTTTAATCCCAGCACTTGGGAGGCAGAGCCAGACGGATCTCTGTGAGTTCCAGGCCAGCCTGGGCTACCAAGTGAGTTCCAGGAAAGGCACAAAACTACACAG